GGAGTTCTAGTCTGGCCTTAGGCATGAAAGCTGACTGGGGATTTTGGGCCTATCACCAGGAGACTGGGAGTTCTAGTCTGGCCTTAGGCATGAAAGCTGGCTGGGTGATTTTGGGCCTATCACCAGGAGACTGGAAGTTCTAGTCTGGTCTTAGGCATGAAAGCTCACTGGGTATTTTGGGCCTATCACCAGGAGACTGGGAGTTCTAGCCTGGCCTTAGGCATGAAAGCTGCCCGGGTGATTTTGGGCCTATCACCAGGAGACTGGGAGTTCTAGTCGGGCCTTAGGCATGAAAGCCGGCTAAACGACTCTGGGCCATCCCACTTCACAGGGTTTTTGTTATGGGGAAAATAGGGGGAGGAAGGAGCATTGTGTGTGTCTGCTGCCTTGAGTTATTTATAAAAAAATAACAAAGGTGGGAAATAAATAATGACGGGGAAATAACCCCTGGCTTCTTTCCACATACTGTATAAGCCAAGATACGGAGTCTGCTGCAATGCAGCTCACAGTCCGTGGGTCAAGGGCCTTTAGCCATTTTGATAGCAGACCAGGAAGATGGAGGAGGAAATATTGCCAAGCCGGGCCGTGACCCATTCTTGAAGCCTTGATTTGCTCAACCATGATCAGGCTCACGAACAAGGTAAACGAAGCCCTGAATGGAAGAGGTACCTTCGCAGTAATGGCTTGTCATCTTCAGTAAAAAAGGTAATTGCTTTTCCTGTGTGTCCCGCCCTCCCTGTGCGACCTGTTGCAAGAGAGAACAGCGTTTAGGCTACGTAGCAATAAAGGGGGAGCTCCTGAAGACAGAGACAGGAGCAGGATGAGCAGGCGGTCGCAAAGACATTTCCAAAAGTGAGATCTCCATAATTCAGACTGTTAATGCAAACCGGAGACCTTTGTCTGCTGCTGAAAGGATCCTTACTGGGTCTGACCCAATAAGAGATCTATCATAGATATTGTTGTGCGCCACTCGCCGTCAACTTTGGTGAGATGGACAGCTTTGTAGATTTTATACATACATACATACATACAGAGAGAGCCCATGATTTCAGCCATATTCCACAATTAGATCCCAAGAGAACATTTCAAGCTGTGAAAGTGTTGCAATCTTTTTCAACTTTTCAATTTTCGTTCCTCAAGACGAAAAAGAAATGCAGCATCTTCAGAGCTAAGCAATGATTTAAAGCAGTTAAGCATTCCTGACTGCTGTGAAAATCTTAATGAATGACTACTTTCTCCTTAAATGGAATTTCTCTTTCTTTCTTTCTTTCTTTCTTTCTTTCTTTCTTTCTTTTTCTTTCCTTCCTTCCTTCCTTTCTTTCTCTCTCTCTCTCTCTCTCTTTCTTCCCTTCCTTTTCTTTTTCTTTCCTTTCCTCCTCTCCCCTTCCTCCCTCCTTTCCAGATTTAGAAGGCTTCCCAACTCAAACAATGTAACTCTGGACAGCATCCAACATTAACACACAATAACAACAAAAGGGCCATAATCATTTACCAGAAAGAAATTTTGTCTCATGCCCAAAAAAATGATAATGGTTTGTTTACTAAAATGACAAATCTAATCTGGTACAAACCTTAAATATGCCAACTGTAGAAGTCATGGGTAGGCAACCTTGGCTCTTTTATGACTCGTGGACTTCAACTCCCAGAATTCCTGAGCCAGCATGGCTCAGCATGGAAACCTCTCCCTTTCTCCTCAGCGTGGCTGGCTCAGGAATTCTGGGAGTTGAAGTCCACGAGTCATAAAAGAGCCAAGGTTGCCTACCCCTGGTCTAAGTCGTCCCAAAGATGGTTTTTCAGGAGGCAACTGGACTTTCTTGTTTTTCTCTGAAGACATTTCGCTTCTCATCCAAGAAGGTTCTTCGGCTCTGGCTGGATGGTGGCGAAATAAATCCTTCCATTCCCCACCATCCAGTCAGAGCCGAAGAAGCTTCTTGCAGAAGTGAAACCTCTTCAAAGAAAAACAAGAAAGTCCAGTTGCCTCCTGAAAAAGCATCTTTGGGACAACCATGATCTGGATGACTGAGAATCTCCATAGACAACTGTCTAAAGGTGACACATTCAAATAAATGAAGGGCAGTTCCAGTTTGCAATGACTTCCTTTTAGATCTCTTGATCTTTTCTGTTTGTCCCCTCTCTTTCTCTCCTCCTCTTATTCTTTTTTCTTCAGAAAGATAAAATCATGATCTTGACCAATAAGGATGGAACTGGAGACTGATTTGTTGCCCTTCAAATATGTAATCCAGTACAGGTAGTCCTCAACTTACGACCACAGTTGAGGCCAAAATTTCTGTTGCTAAATGAGACATTTGTTTAAGTGAATTTTATCCCAATTCCTCAATTTCCCTATTGTTTTTTTTCCTGGTATTTGTTTTTATATTAAGATAAACTTTAATGAATTTTATTTTTTTTTAAAAAAGGAAGGAATTGGATACAATGGCAGGACTTTCCAAGCCGTGATTGCTCTTCTCTCTCTTTTTTTTTTTTTGACAAAAATCATGCAGGTTATTTCCTGTGAGTCTCAGCTGTGAAAAGCCTGGCTTGCATTCTCCTGCTCCCCCCGACTCAAAAACTGAAATGACAATAATGCTCTTATTTAAAACGCAGAACCCTAAACTCACCTATCCGGTGAATATATTCCACGGCACTGCTGGGGAAGTCAAAATTGATAACCATGTTCACTCCTTTGAAGTCGATCCCTCGAGCCAGCAAAGCAGTGCAAATAAGGATCCAGATCTTCCCAGCTCTGAAACTGTGGACTACGTTATCTCTCTAGGGAGGGGGGGAAGGAGAAAAATCCTCACGTAAGTCATGATTAAATACCTGCAGAAGCAACTTCTCTTCCGCCAAAATTCAGAACACGCCCTCTTGAAGGCAGCCAGTTAGCAAAACTTTCCAAAAAGCAAGAACCAGGAAAAAAAAAGAAAAAAGACAAGCAGAAACTAACAATGGATGGAAACTACTCAAGAACAGAACCAACTAGAACCATGGAGAAATTTCCTGACAGTGAGAACAATCAACAAGTGGGATGGCTCACTGGAGGCTTTTAAGAAGAGACTGGACAGCTACGTTTCTGGAATGATATAGGGCAGGGGTAGGCAACCTTGGCTCTTGTATGACTCGTGGACTTCAACTCCCAGAATTCCTGAGCCAGCCACGCTGAGGGGAAAGAGAGAGGTTTCCAAGCTGAGCCATGCTGGCTCAGGAATTCTGGGAGTTGAAGTCCACGAGTCATAAAAGAGCCAAGGTTGCCTACCCCTGGTATAGGGTCTCCTGCTTGAGCAGGGGATTGGACTAGAAGGCCTCCAAGATCCCTTCCAACTTTGATATTGTGTTAACTAACTTATAAAAATGTTCTTCCGTACCCCAAAAAGCCTCTCCCACCTGTTGTTGGGTCTTCTCTGCATGAATGACGTCCACATTGATGCCTTCGTAAACAAGCTCATGAAATAGCTCTTTAGCCCGTTCAATAGATTGGACAAACACCAAGACTGGAGGTCTGAAGCCCTGTAACAGAGGAGAAAAAAAAAAAGAGAGAGCCAAGGTAAGGTGACAGTCCAGACAGGAAGTACTGCAATGCTGTGACTGTCAGCTGGTCTAGTCAATTCACTCTTCCGACTCAGAAAGTACTCTTAAGTCTACATCAGGGGTCTTCAAACTTGGCCCTTTTATGACTTGTGGACTTCAACTCCCAGAATTCTTCAGCCAGCGTGCCTGGCTGAGGAATTCTGGGAGTTGAAGTCC